GCCGCGGAGGGTTGGATGCACCGAGCCGCTCTCGCTGACCTTCGGTACAAACCTTGCGCTGCTTCGGCCTCAGACTTGGCGGGTTTTGTTGTTTTTTAATTATTTATTTTTTTTTTTTAAGGTACTGGCAAGTTTTTTTCTCTCAGTGCACGTTGGAGTCTGACTTCTCAATTCCCCCAGGAAAGGCTCCGTTGGAGACCTCAGGTTCTCTGTTTTCAGAGTGTCGCATCACTGAAGTGAACCTTCTCTTTTTGTTGCCTGTTTGTTCAGTGTCAAAAGTGCACTGGGGTCTGAGAGAGGTCCCGCACACCCGAACCGAGCGGTACCTCAGTCAGCGCTTGTGACTAAGTGTCACTGCCTGTGACTAAGAGTTGCAAAATAAATTGGGTATCCTTGGTAGCATGCATGGAAAATGTGGAGTTTTTTTTTTTTTAAATAAACCAACAAAAACCCAAACTGAAATTGCTAAAGTAAACATTTCTCAGAAATTTCCCTTTTTTAGTTTTATATTAAGAGCAGTTGCTTAGATTCTGCCCTTTCCAAATAGTTGGGATTAACGCTAGGCTTGTGCTGTGTGCCCCAAGAATCTGAAGCTTTTGCTGCCCTTGCTATCCTTTTAACTAATACTGTTCTTTTAAATAATTCTATTTTTATCTCGCCGCTACGCCACGTCTTGAAAAAGATAAGATCTTTATCTATGAGCCCAGCTTGTCTGCTGTTTATGCTCAGTCTTTCTTGCACCGTGGTTCATACCAGAATCAGTACAAAACTGTGTTGTTGCTTATGCTCAGATAAATGGTGACATTTAAAAACTGTTTGCAGTCTTTGTAGAAAATTGATGCCGCTGAATCATGTGGAACATAAAATCGTCTGGGACTCAGATCAGTGGCGTTCCTGGCGTTGCTTGGTGTCTGGCGAGCATTGTGCTAGTGCTGGGACTGACTCTTTCTCTTGTACCCCAAGCTGTGATTGCCGTCTCCTGGGAGGAGACGGTTTGAAGTGCTCCTCAGGCCTCTTCTCTGTGGGAAGGTTATATTCGCACACATTTTTAGTATGTCTAGCCCACTCAGCTTTTTTTTGCTTTCCTTTCCACCTTCCCCTTTTTTTTTTTTCTTCCTCATTTTAGCCTTAACTACCTTTGTTTCTTGGCTTAATTGTCAGGTTAGTTACTCAAAGGTCCGAATTCAAGTGACACAAGCGATTACCATTTATTCTTCATGTATGGACTTCCTAGTAATGGGTTTTGAAATGTTGCATAGTAATTAATTCGGTGATCTTTTTTTTTTTTTTTTTAATTCCCTCCACTTTGTATACTTTCACCCCTTTCTAGGTCTTGAACTCTGGTCTGTTTGATATGGTCATAATAACTCCCAGGACACATTAAAAAAGGACTTAATTTTGTTCTCATCTGACTGGAGATTTCTGTTGGCTTTGGAGGGAACGAAATCAAACTGAACCTCAGTATCTTTATTAAACAAAAGTAAAAATGTCTAGAATGCTAGTGTCTGATTTTTCCAGCTTCACTTGACAGTACACTTTGTCAAATAATAATTTGATTGACACTCCATTACGATGCCTGTTACTTAGGATCTGTCTCTGTATAGAAATATTCCAGTCTCATGATAGCTATTTGACTACTAGTGTAATCTGGCTACTTAAGCTAAATTTAAGAGAGAACCTTTTCACAAAATACAGAAAGATGCATGATGTGTTTGAGACGATTGTTTATTTAATTTAACACATGGTGCTGCTGATGGAGCAAATGTGACAGGAGCTGTGTCTTTGTGTTTTGTGTGTGTACAGTGCCCTTTGTCACAAGAACCATGGTTGTGGAGCTCCTGTTAACTAGTAAGCAAGCTGTAGGCTTTATCCAAGATACAGCAAGTGATTCTTATTTCTTCTTAACTTCATAGGTATTGGAGCTGATAATGACCTTTATATAAACCAAGCTATAGTATTTATTGAAGATGCGATACAGGTAAATATAACTTGTTTGTTAGCTATTATGCTTCCCGTGCTGGATGTTTGTCACATGTTCTGCTAGCTTTTAAGTTTTTCCGTGTTCAGGCAACCTCCATATAATGTAATCTTGATTTACAAAGCAAAATCAGAATTCCAGATTCCTGTGGTATGCAAGTTTCGGTGAACTTCTGCCTAGGAGAAACATTTTTCCACACAATGAGATAATGTCTTCTCTTCAAGGTTGTCAAAAGAGATGCTGGTTTGCGGGGTGGTTTTGCATGTGGTTTTTGGTTTGTTAGTTGTTTTTTAATATATTTTTTTTTTGGAGAGTGGCTGGCCTTACTGCTAAGAGAAACTGTCTGAGCAAACACTGTAATTTGCCTCTAAATCTGACTGCTTGTGTTGCTTAAGAGCTGGTAGAGTTTAAGGCTAGCTTCATGTGAGAAGCTGGAACTCTTTTTTGTTTCAGCTGAACTTGGTGCCTTTGGAAGTCTTCATTCTCTGTCACTCCTTTACTGCCCATTACTGCGGATTCCTAGATCCTGTTGCCTCTATTACTGGTTGCGGGCAGCAGGGATGCTGAAGGGCAGTTCTTGAGCTGTCTTGCTGCATTCAGATAGCTTTTGGTTGGGAGATTTCTGGGGATCAGTTCTATTTAAGGTGCACACACCTTTCTGGAAGTGGATACCTCTCAACAGAGGGAGAGTAACAGCAGACCAGGAGCAGCTGCTGAGGAGGGGCTGAGCAGATTTCAGCAAAACCAGGACGGTTCTGAAGCATCATGGGTATTTCCCTGAACTTAAAGCATGTTTTGTTTAAAGACCTAGGTTGAGGGCTCTTATATTCAGAATTAAATTGTTTGCATCTTACGGCTTTTTGGAAGAGTAAAGGCAAAAGAGGATCCATGAATGAAATGAATGCTAGAAAGGTAAACTAAATGGGTGGACTGTTTTGGCAAGTAGACAGAATAGGCGCTGAATTATTACTGATGCTGTTATTTGTAATGATGATAATGCTTGCTTCAGATGACTGCCATACGGTTTGATTATCTAAATGACTGTGTGGTCTTTGGATTATGAAAACTTTAAAATAAAGTCTTTTCTGTTGCACTCATGTAGGATGGTCATTGGTGACTGACACTTTAATAATTAGTAACTTGTACAATAATTTCTTTATCTTATTGTGCAACTGGAATTATCTCAAGACTTGAGCTTTTTTGATTAGAATTTGGTTTATTTTGGTAACTTGATCTCTGCCTTTGAGACAGACTGAATGTAACGTTTGAATCATCCTTTTTGCTTTCTGCTTTCAGTATCGATCTATAAATCATCGTGTGGACGCCAAATCCCTATGGCTTTATCGATGGTACTATTCAAGAACTTGCCAGTGGTAAGAACTTGGTATTCTTCTGGCTTTTTTGTTCAGGAGTAAGGCTTTGTAAAAAATCATTCTTAGTCTTTTTTTTTTTTTTTTTTTTTTTTTTTTAAATAATTAGATAATTGTGCTTTTATCCTTATAAGAACTTATTGCAGGAAGCAAGTGGATTGACTACATGTGAACATGATAAAGTAGAAAGCAACAAGATATATGAAAGTGTGATCATGTGGAACAGCCATAGGGCTGTTGCGTGAATGGACTATTGGCATGATTTACAGCACTGTGTGTTAGAGTTTTCCCAGTGTCTATGTCTAAACATATTAAATAGTAGCAAGATTGTTTGCTGATGTTAGTTTCAAAAGAACACCACCTAAGGTTATTTGGTGGTCAGCAGTTACATTTTTCTAATGCAGGCAACATCATGCTAATCAAGTGCTGGGTTGTGATCTAACCCATTTGTGTTAAACATGATATTATAAAGCTTGGTTTACTTCTAAGAAAATTGCTTTACTGGAAGTATTTTGTTAATTTTTTTTTTTAACTCATTTTGTGGGTTTGGTGTTTTCTTGTGGTGTGTGTGTGTGTTTGGTTTTGTTTTGTTTTCTTAATTTCACCTCTATCCAAACAGGATTCTGAGTTTAACCATTACTATAATCCTGGCTTTGGTTTTCATTGAAAAGCCTTCTTCGCTTACTATCACGTCAGATGTACGATACCGCCTTTCTGCATGGAACCCTCCGTGTGGCCTAACAGAAAGCATTGAGCTGCTTTGCTTTCTTGTGTTCATGGTTGATGTATCTGTAAAGGTGAGCATCGCGTGCATCTGGTACTGAGTGAAATGTTAGTGTCCTGGGCAGATCAGTAAGTATACTCAGCATGGCTTTTCTCCATTCTGTATTTTGGGAGAAATGTCTTAGAATTGTTATTCGTATCTTGGATTTGCATGCTGAGGTTGCTTTGCTATATAAAAACCTTACTTTCAGGAGAAATTAGAAAGTGCATATTTTCTGAGTTAAAAAAATTATTGCTTTTTTTTAATCCAAGAAATATGAACTCTTGTTTGTATGGAACAAGTGAAATAAATTTTGCTAAGAATACAATGATTTTAGCTTAGCTGCTTGTATTAGGCTATAAAAATTGGGCTATATAATAATCAAATATATGCCAGTTCATTTACACAAAGCAAAATAAAAATAATCAGAAACTGAACTTTTCTTTGGATATTTGTTTCTTGAAAAATATCTTTTTATAGTTATTAAATGGACATTTTTCTTTGATTCAAAGAATTCCTCTCACACGGCCTGTGTGTACTTCTTGCTTCTTTTGACCTTTATTTAGTTCTTGTAGAAAAAGTCTCCAGTCAGTGTATTTTTGTTTGGATTTCAGGGAGCTCTTTATGAGCACTGATGTAAAACTAGAAATACTTGGAAAACAATTGGCAGTGACTTGTTGGGGTGTTGGAATTTATAATTAAAGTAAGTTGGTGGTTTGTTTTTGTTTTTGTTTTTTTCCCCTCCCCAGAGTTACTTAATTGGATGGGAAGAATTTTGGAAAAATAAATGGCTGATGGCTTATATACTGACATTGGTTGTTTCCCTTACCGATTGGATTGTATCCCTGAGTTTTTTCTGCACGGAGGTAAGAACTGCTTTCTGCAGAAACAATCAGCAGCTTCGTTGTGGAGAGCAGTGGAGGAGAAGAACCCGCAAAGGGCTGCTCAGCAGGGCCTATGTGATATATTGGAGAATTAAGGGGAGAGGGTGAGATGGTTCATTTTTGGTCTTTGACAGCTGGATAATACACTGAAACACAGACGATGTTGGGTGTAATAGAGCTTTGCAAGGGATTCTGTTTGATTCCATTAAGAATCAAATCAATAAGATACAAGTTCATTGGTAAAATTAAATAAAGCTTTGTTGTTACAGTTTGTCAACGTTCAAAGAGTATAGAGAAAACGCTGGTTGCATAGCACTAATTTTGTCATACAGTTGGAGAATTAGGCTCTTAACTTGATTCAGTGGCAGAGTCTATGTAGTGAATGAAAGAACCAAATAGCATAATTGCTTTACTGTATCTTAAGGAAAATAAAGGCAATCATCGGAGTCTCGTCCGAGGCAGAAATTGCTGAGTAATAAGCAGGCCCTTTTAATTATAAAAAGAAAAAAACCAGAAGGCTGAAAATTGAAATCAAGAGCTTATCTTCAAAATGTGTGTCTGTTCTTATTGTAAGTAGCTTGCTATTAATTCCCTTCTTGAAATGGACCTTGGCAGAAAATAAGAAAATGCCATCTCTTGACCTGCTTGCTATGTGTACCCAACAGTAAAGTTAGATTGTTTATAATTAGTGGCCTGATGAGGCTATTGAAATGTCAATGTGCATTTTTAAAGCTATCTCTCATTCTTTTAACGCAGCACCTATATGTATAAAATATCTTTTGTGTGTTTTGTGACTTCAGTGGGACAGGTTTAGCTTCTGAGCTTTTTATGTTACGCTGTTGAGTTTGACATGTGTATCAGTGTTTTTTGACAAACTTGTATTAAAAATATTTGTGGTGTTAGTCTTACAGGAACTCAGTATCTGATCCGTTGTGTTTTGCAGAATGTGAGAATAAGAAGAATTCTTCGTCCTTTCTTTCTCCTTCAGAATTCTTCAATGATGAAGAAAACATTAAAAAGTATCAATAGCACGTTGCCTGAAATGGCAAGGTAGGTAATAGCATAGAAAACATCCTTTCACAGCAAGCATGTAGTTACCCTTAGTGTTCTGGAGTCTGACATCTGAGTAGCTTCCTTCTTGATGGTCTAGCTAAGTGGTTGGTGAGATCAGGTAGTAGTAGATGGAGAGCTGTGTTAACTTTTTGGTCCTTTTAGTCTGTAAAATTTCTCTAGAATGCATGTGACGTGTGGAAAGCAGACTCCCCAATCTGTAAGATTGTAAAGTAGGTATGTTTATTCAGCGCTGGGCAGCACAGGGGGTAGTCCCACCAAAATTGTGCGCGCGTGTGCAGTAGCTTGCCTCGAAGTTATACTACAAAGTGTTACACATACGTAAGATTCCCAAATATGGCTATACATATGCATGACTTGTCCCTGCTTCATATTAAAATTAGCCCCAAGAAGTCATTTCCATAAACTTCTCCCAACTGCGCTTGCGCATTGTCTCCTGGTGGTGGTCGTGGGGGTCGTGGTGGATGAAGGCCGATGACTCCTCTTCGTCACCACTAGTAACCCCTTGTTCTTGCGCAGACTCAGTTGCTCTTTGGCTCTTGTCCAAACTACAGGGTCAGTTTTAGCTGGTTCTCAAGGCAACTTCTCGGTTCTTATCAAGAACTTGTACAATGGCAATAGTGAGCACAGTTTTAAGCAACATCTTCTCTACTAGATCCCCTTTTCACATGTGATATCGCTCTGTATGTGACAGATAAGGTTTCTGATGCTAGTTGGGTGGGGCTTTTTAATTCTGTATGTGTTACGTACAACCCTTTTGCAAGGGAAGAACTGAGGCATCATCTGGGTGAAGGTCTGTGCTGTGTTTCTCCAAGGTAGCCTCTCGGAGGTATAGATAGACACACACGTACTTGTCTTCCAGTCATGACTGCTGTACAACAAAATACCTCTTTCTTCATGTTTTCAGTGCATGTCACTCTTCCTGTGACATGGGTAGTATATGTGTACAGCTTATAGAACTCACTGTCCTTGCCTGTTACTTTTTACCTCACAAGTCCCAGGAGAATCAAAGGTGTATGCAAGTCAAGATGTTGTATTTTGATTGGAGGGTGTAAATATGGTCCTAACTTTAGAAAAACAAGTGTTAGAATGTCATTGACCTCACAACTGTCTAAGCTTATGCTGAGTCCTGAACAAGTGTGACTCTTATTCTGAATCAAAACTTAGATTCTATTACGTCCATATAGCTTCTTAAAAATACCACTGCTTTTCTTTATGTGGCATCCTTTTGTGTTTTTAGCAAAGGATATTAAGAATAAGATAAAGTTGGTATTAATGTATACGATATGTTTTCTTTCCAACAGTGTAGTTCTGCTACTAGCTGTTCATCTGTCTCTCTTTACCATGTTTGGAATGCTGCTGTTTGCTCGAACAAAGGTAACCAATTACATTTATGCTTTGCTAGATCTTGGTAGGTTTTTTTGACTTCACTCGCACAGCTGCTGCATGTCCAGTTTTATAATCAAACTGGTGAAACTTATTTCCCTTGAAAAGATCATGTTACCTTGTCAAACTTACAGGTATGAGTTTGAAGTCCATTTCAGATAGATTTAACATGTACATAGCATCCATGTATAGTGCTGTTTATGTAAGTGTGCATTAGAAGGCCCCTCAGAATAGCGTTAAACCTCTTCATTCTTTAGTGAAGATTTTCTTTTTTTCCAGTCTGCACTTTGTCTCTTAAGTGATAATGCTACTTCCTACTCCACAACTGAAATCTTACGCCACAGCTTACAGCAAGTGAATTATTTTATTAGTCTAGCTCGGCTGCTCAGAGTGAAGTTAGATAGTTCCATTCTAAAATGTGGTTGACATCTTTATTTATGGTCCTGCTTATTACTGGTATTGATGCCATTATCACAGGTGAGAAATTTAAAGTCTATTTATACAAGAGGCTTCCTTATACAATTCTCCAATTTGATCCTTTGTGTTACTTTCTCTGCTTTTGTTGAAACCTTCTATGCTGTTTTGTGTCCAAAGCTCTTAATCTTGTCACTCTTTTGTTTATATTCTCACTTATTTATTCTCTTTTCTATATTTAGCTTTTTGCTAAGTTTAGTTTCTTTTGTGTTTTCTTGTCTTCTAATACTTGTATCCATGGCCATGCCTTGGTAGGTTTTTGCCTGGTTTTGCCTGCATTTCTCCAGCATTTTGGTTTCTGATCTCTTTGGTTTTCCTCTGTTTTTATTCTTCTTGCTTCCAAAAAGCAAATTTAAAATTTTGTCGTTAAAATAACTTTTGTGTTCCAGTGCTCTTGGTATGGTGCCTCTCTCTTAAACTTCCTGTATCTTAATGTGTCATACTCAGATATTTTTTTTTTGTCCTTACTTTTTTTAAGGCCTTCCGTAAATGTGTTCCTATGAGCACAAAGATTTGTTGCCTACTTCTCCCAGTAACTTTAGTCCTCTCCTTAATTTCAGTTTTGCACCTTCATTCCTACTTGCACTTGAGCCTGCCCCTAGTCTTCCTTGTGATTGGCAAATTCCTTGAATTCCCATGTTAGAGGATTTCTGGAATTAGCAGCAGAACTCTTATTTTTCCCCTTTGTTTAGTTGCATGCTGTATCTTTGTATTATCTCTGTATGTCGCATCTAATTTCAGTTACGAGCTTTCCCAGCAGATGGGAATGTAATGAACTTGTATACCTGAACCAGTCAATTTTGTATACATTTAGGTGAAAAATAACAAATTAGAGAGCAGCCCTTCTTTCCTTTTTTGATTTGCTAGTTTAAGACCCATGCAAAGTAATTGTATCTAACAAGGCAAAATACCAAAAGCAAGTTCTAAAAATACATTTAGTAATGAAACTCATGCCTCTGGATTTTTGCATTGTTTATGTGTGTTCACTGGAGGTACATTTTTCCAGTCTTTGCAGCAGATTCAAGGGCTGTTTGTTCTGTACTGCATGACTCATGTTTATATTGTTTGCACTCTGCATCTTTTTTCGCTGTCTCTACCTGAACTTGGGGTGGGTGTGTGTGTGTGTGTGTAGAAAAAAAAGTAGATGGTGAAAGATCAGCCTCCCAGTGTGTTTTTGCTGAACATTCTGATACCATCAGAGCTTTAGCAGATCATCTGATGTTTTTGCTGAGTCACAAAATAACTTTGATAATCTTAGTCAAATATTTTTTTGGGTGCTGTAGCACTGGTCTCTCTCTTCCCTCTCCCTATTCCCACCAAGATGTTTAAGCTCTATGTGATGTATTCACTGATACTGTAAATAGCATTTTGAATCTTCATCTTTTCAAAATAGAACAGTTGCATGTTTTCTACCTGCCCAACTTCTTCAATGTGCAGTAATGCTGGTTAGAATATTGCTTATATAAAGCAATTATTTGTGTAAATATTATATGAAGATAAATATTATATAAATATTTAATGGCAGTGTTAGGCTAACAGTTGGACTTGATGATCTTAAAGGTCTTTTCAACCTAAACAATTCTATGGTTCTGTTCTAAATTTATTTCCTCTAAAATATGTTGAGGACTATCCTTGCACTCATACTTTTAAGTCCATCTTCACATATGTTATTGTAAAGAGACCTAAAACTTGTCTGGCTGTGTTCTGCGTAGATCTTACTGTAATTAAATTGAGCATGTAAGGGGATAATTGTAGAAAGGGGAAAACTACTGTTCCAAGTAGTGGTAGTAACTTCTGTGCAAATACCCAATTCAGACAATGTTAAGTTTTCTTTTTGGAAGTCAAAGGGGAAGTGAGAGACACCATTCATGCTCAGTGAGTATGCTAGTAGAGCTGTAGGTGTTTGAGAGGAGCTCATAATCTATAGGCAAGGATCTTCTGTAACATTGTAGTTATTAAGGCAGCTCTTCATTACTGAGGAGGCTGTGGGCTCACCCAGGTGTTGCCATCCTTCTTTTGTTTCTGTTCTTCAGTATAGACAAGATCTATTTTAATATTGTCCTCAAATTGTATTATACTTTTGGACAAGTCCTGGAGTGCAATCCTAGAGTATACGTTACAGGGTGATTAGGTTTCCACCTATGCTGAGGTATAGCATGCTGTAGCAGGAAAGCAAGTAGCTTCTATTCTACACTAATTTTTATAATGCAAGTTGAGACTGAATGTGGTATTAGTCTGTTTTGTTGTTGTTTTTTTTTTTTTTAATAAAATCATGTTTGGGGAGTCCTTTTAGCTCCAATGCACTAATATCTCTTGCAGGTTAAGAGATGATGCTTTTTTATATCGATCAAAGGTTGCTTCAGATTTTTATATTCTATGTTTGTGACATTATTGTTCTTCCTGGGTCTGAGGTGTTAGCTAAACATAAGTCCTGTATTGAGCCTTCTGTGTCTGTCTTAGCTTGCTGTTCTTCCTTATGTTTTTTAATGGCTGTTAATCAGTGAAGTGCTTGCACTGCATTCCTACACATTGTCCTACTTTTTATGCTTGCCTCATGCTTTTTTTCATGGGGTAGATTTGATTGTCTGTGTACAAAATTGATTATTGACTGATTTATATATCCCCCCCCTACCCTGCCTTGGTAAGACAGCCTTAGTGATTCTTCAGTGTTTCTCTAACAATGACCATCTATTCAACTAGGATGGCCAGCAGGATAAGGAGTGGGTGGGGTATTTCCGGAATTTGCCAGACTCACTGACATCATTGCTGGTCCTGCTAACTACTGCAAATAATCCTGATGGTGAGCAATCTTTCAGAAATAACTCTTGTCTCTCTTTTTAAAGACTAAGAGAGTAAGATTATCTTCAGTCTACTGTAACCATTGTTACAGCTGATAGTTCTTGGTACAGCCAGAGGAAGGTTATGTAAAGATTTTTCATGCCTTTAACTTGATTCTTGCCTTTCCTTTGGTGTAATTATGTATGCATCTCTGAAGCAGAGCTATAGAAGAGCTTTTACAGTTTGCCAAAAATTGATAGAAGTCTCCAGTTTTCATGTTAAGCATTAAATTCTTATTTCCTTTTTTGTTAAATCTGACACAGTGATGATTCCTGCATATTCTAAGAATCGAGCATATTCTATCTTCTTTATACTCTTCACTGTATTGGGTAAGTTCCCTCTTGTTTTCAGTAATTTAAATGCACTTTATCTTTGACACTTGTGCATACCAGCCTCAGAGTTTTATTTTTCTAGGAAAGTTTAATCATAAATTTATCCTTTTTTGTGTTTTTTTTCCAATTACTGTGTAGTATATTGCAAGACAATTTTCATGGAAGGCACTTAGGAATGGTTTGCTTTTTTTCAGTAACTTATCAAAGGGGAATGCATACATTATAGTATATTCAAACATTAAAAACATTTTGGAAATCAAACACAGGAAAACTAATCCTTTAAAAATTTTGCATCTGATTTACTATATACATTGAAACTTCTTTGAGAAACTGAAATATATTTCAGTAATTCTCACTGCCTCTTTTTCTCTAATAGGCAACCTGTTTCTGATGAACTTGCTTACAGCAATAATATACAACCAGTTTCGAGGATACCTTCTAGTGAGTAAAGCATTCCTGATTTCTGTGTTCTACCATAACCGTAAAACTGTGAAGCCCTGAGTATTAAAAGTTTCAACTGTGTATTAAAGCAGTATGCCTATCCTGGTTGTAGATACGGTTTTAAAATATTTAAGGTTCTTTGATGTAGGAAGAGGCTTCATGGGTGCAGCTGGAGATCTCCAGAATTGGGTTTGTCTCCGGCAATGAATACAGAACATCCAAGGTGCACCACAGTTACTTAGCAGTTAACACACGTAGTAGATGAGTAGAAATAACGAAGTGCTAGGCTAAGTTTTAATGGTTATCACACTGATGGCATGCAGCTGAATCTTTGGTCAGGCAGTCATCAGTCAAAAGGGGAACTGTCAGTCTCTTGCTCCTCAGAACAGGCCGAGTCTTGATCTTGCTGAGGTGCCATCAAACTGTTTGAGATTTTTCTTGGAACTTTGTAACTTTCATGGTGAAATTTTTTTTCTCGAGTCTTGAGTTAGTTTTTCAGCAGTTTCACCTCCACCTGAGTTTTTTACTTTCCTCTTGCTTATTTTATGAAGCTTCACAACTGAACAGCAATATTTTGGTAAAGCTGAGTTAGGGTAGTGCTATGCAAAAGCACTGGAGTCTGACAGCTAAACCTCTGGGCTGCAGGTTAAGCTGCTTTCCCTTTGTGCAAGTACGGCGATGTCCTCTGTAGTTTGGAATGAACAGTGCAGAACTCTCTGCACAGTAGTATGGATTTCTGTGAATACTTGAGCTGTGCTCTTGCCACTATCTCCAGAACAGGCGTGTGCCTGTGTGATCCAGTATTGAAAATAAACCATGACCTGGATGTTTACTTGAACTCCAGAGACTTGTTTGCTTGCTACCTTCCTTTTCGTACACAGAGTTCTTGGAGAGAGCAAGGCCTAGGAAAGTCTCCTAGTCTCTAATCACAAACCTGGGGTGTGCGCCAGAATATCAGTATGTTATCTGATCATAGGATGTAGTACTGCATGAGAAGCTGGTTGGCCCTGATCTTCCCCAAGTCCTTTTTGTAGGAATGGACTTCACTGACTTAAGCCTGTGACTCTTTGTGGTACTCCTTTTAAACTGTGGGGTGTCTGTCTTGTTGGACCCAGTAGCTGAACAACTAGATTAGTGGCTCATGATGGGGACTTTGGCAGTGGGAGAAAGAAAATGGTATCTTGTCTTCCTGAAAAACTAGTTCAGTTGAACAGATACGTCCTTTTCTGAGGCTTGCAGTAGGTTTTGTCTAAGGGCTGGGCAAATAATTTACAGGTCTTATTTGTATCATCTGCTTGGATTTCCTTTATGCTAGTGTAAGTAAATCATCTCCTCTGTGGTGTTCTTACTGTCCAGAAATCTGTTCAGTCCTCCCTCTTCAGGAGGCGACTTGGAATCCGGGCTGCATTTGAAGTGCTTTCTTCCCTGAAAGAGACTCCTGCTAGTGCACAACAGTAAGTGAAGAACATGGAAACGGTAGATTACCTAGGAGAAAAGAGCGGATTTTCGGTCATCTTGTTTTGTTTAGTATATTTACTGATGATCCCTTCTTGAAAAATGGCAGTTTGTTGCTTATCTCTTTTATTTTGTTTTTTCTTTAACTAGATGTTTATAATACACTGTTTGGGACTCTTACGGGGTCTATTCCATTTTTATTTCTACTTCTAATTTTATCTGCTTTTTAAAAAAAGAAAGAGCCAGGAATGCATTTGGAACAGCTATTTTTGCCATCAAGACCTCTTTCAGGGTCCATCCTATTTTCTTTTAAATAGGTCATGTGTCAGCATTGGGGCCTTACTACGAGTGCTGCAGAAAGTTGAAATGGATTCTCGCTGCAAGCAAGCCATCATGAGAGTAAGAACTATATTCTCTTAGTTTTGTTGGCGACTATCAAACCCTGTGATGGGACAGGCAGCTGAAATTGCTTAATTACACATTGATCTACGAGTAGTGGCTTTCAGCTCAACTTGTTTTATGCTTCTTTCTTTAAGAGTATGAACAGAGGCCCAGCTCGGTGTCTGTTGATGTTCTGGTCCTCAGAACAAAACAGTCTCTAAGCAGTGATTTCACCTTAAGGTTGCTGCTGCTTTGGTTGGCATGATGAGGAATGCATTCACGTGTAGAGACCTGTAGGGTAATGAAAACTCTTGTTTTGCAGAGCTAACTTTTTCATTTGCTTTACATTGGCTCCAGAAGTAAAGCATTTCTCACTGTGGTCTACAGCTGCTGTCTATAGCAGCTTTCCTCTACCATTTGAAAATGTCTTTTTACAATTGGATTTTAGCTGTTCTGCTCCCTCTAGAAATTAATACTTGTATCAGGCTACAAGGAGAGTGGTTTTGCTTAACAAAAGACTTAATTAACATTGCAGTTCATGCCATGATTTTCAGAGATAAGAGAAATTATTTAGCTCTAACAGGAGGTCTGGAAATTATTGTTAGGTTTTCAGAAAAGTTATCTAAAAGTAATGTTGCTTTTTAAGAACACCATTGCAGCAGATTTTTTGAAGTCCATATTGTAAGAACTTCTGCTAAATGAAAGAGACAATTCAGAGCTGATGGTTATAGCATCAGCAATTGGCTGGCTCTAACGTGAAGATTGGAAGTGGAATGAAGATATATACATGTGTTACTTCCTGTTGTTGTCTGGGATAGGAGTTGTTTAAGCAGAGTTGCCTGAAAATCAACTCCCTGCTCTGTAATTAATTGCATTGTTAGGTAGGTATGCAAATGCAAATTTTAGTTTTAATTCTTGTCACTGGTGGGTGTGTTCCATTTCTTTTGTTGCTGTGTGCGCTACAGTTGCAATTAGTGTTTAGCATGCTATGGAAGCGTCGTCTTCACATTACAATTTGTGAAATAATTCCATCCTTCCAGCTAGTAACTTCCACAGAACAGTGATACTGACATTGTTTCTTCCTTCCTTGAATCATAACATAATAATGGCAATATTAGATGAGACTAAAAATTCAAGTATATCAAAAGAGCATGCTCCTGCTTAACCAGCATGTGATCCAAAAGGGGAAAATAGAAACGTTGAGGAAAATCCCGCAGTCATGTGGCAGTTTTGTGTTAAAGCAAAGCAATATTCATGTTCGTTGTAATACCTTGGTGTAGGTTGTATTACATCTCTATTCCTAGACTTTTAAGATAGTCTGAGGGTGTTGGCACTGTTTGAAGATGCGCCTATTGCACGTACTGATCTGAATATTTCTCTTTCATGTGAAGTCGCTCAAAACATGCTCCTGTGACCAGCTGTCAGCTGCCCAGTTTCAGAAGCTCTTTGAAGAACTAGACAAAGATGCCATTAGGGAAGTAAGTATCCAACTACCATTTACCAAGTGTCATAGTATTCTGCTACAAAGCTTATAAACAAACTTCACAACTTGTTGAACATGGGGTATGATCAAGTGTCATTGATTATTTATTTTTTTTTAAGTTGTTTGTGGATTGCTCTTGTAATCACAAATGGCATTGCTTTGGGGGCTTTTACAGCATTAGTTTGGGATTGCCAGGTAGTGTTGAATGTACAAAACACATGGTTGTTTATTCTGTCAGCATTTTTAAGTGACTCGGCCAGACAAAATATATGAGGGCTGTGTGTGTATTTTGTTTAATAGGAAGATTCATTACCAGGAAACAAGGAATAGGAGTTACTTAGAGCATAGACTTTCTGAAAAGTGCTGATGGAGTGAGTACCTCTGTAGTTAATTGGGTTTGATGATGCAAGGGATTTGTCTTGTCATGACAGTCCTATTTTAAAGCGATGCATCTCCACTATGTATTAGTCTTTGCAGCGTAATACTTAACTATGCTTGGGCAAAATCTTTTCTCCAGTCCCTGAATGAAGAATGCAATGTGGATTCTTTAAGTGTTCAGAGGAAGATGTGCTGAAAGCAGTCTTCTCCACTTTGAGAAAGAAAGAAAAAACCCAACCAAAACCAAAAGACAAACTTTTTGAGGGTTAGGAAATGTTCTTTTCTATGTTTGCATGTAACTAAGACTTCTGAATCTTTTAGGGGAAATGAAATGTTGGGAAATTGAGAAGGAATGTGTACAATTAGTAGCTTGGGGTTTAGTTTACCTGTTTGGGGCACTGGAGAGAGGTTAGATCATCTTCATTCTTTGCCGTTATCTTTGTGTTGTGCCGTAATTGTCAATGCATTTGCTAATCAGAAATGATCTCTTGCTGCTAATAGCCAGAGCTTGAAAATGCCTTCTTACTGAAATGTGAAAATTAGCACGTGGCCTTGAAGTTTTGCTTTGAAAATGTCAGTTTCTTAAATCTGAGATTGGATGTGTTTTTCCTGCATCATTACTAAAACAATTATGCTTTGTGTCTCAGCAAATCCTTTGTGTTCTTTTCAGCATCCTCCCTGTCCAGAGTACCAATCCTATTTTATGCAGAAAATGCAGTTTGCCTTTGGCCATCCCTACTTTGGCTACTTGGGGAATATTGTAGCCCTTGCAAACATTGTTTCTATCTGTGTAAGTACAAGTTTTTTGAGTGTTTTTGTTTGGTTTTTTTTTTTTTTTACTTGCTACAACTTTCAGTTCTGTTTTGGTTCTTTAGCCTCTGTTTTGATAACCACTTTTTGTAGCAGATTTTCATGTTTGGTGTGCTTTAGTTGTTGCTAAGTCTTAGAAGAGAATACCTGCAGTTTAAAAATATATTCTGAGAGGCTTGAAAAGATCTGTGCAAAGCATAGAAGACTCTGTTTTGTTCTTGTGCTTAAAAATCTGGTTTATGCAGCAGTAAAGCTGTGGATTCATAAAATATTCCTTGTTTTTTAAGGTGGTTTTGGTGATGGATGCAGATAAGCAGCCATCTGAAAGAGATGACTTCTTCCTGGGGGTAAGATGCAACAATATTCCTACAGTTATTGCTGCTCCCTGAGGTGTCAATAATTCTAATAATTATTTTTATTTTGGGGGATGAAGGCTATCAACTGCTTCTTCATCCTATACTATCTGCTGGAAATGTTGCTGAAAATCTTAGCAATGGGCTTGAAAAGATACTTGTCATACCCAAGCAATATATTTGATGGACTTCTGACTGTAATTTTGCTGGTAAGCTTTTTGTTAACTTCTGTATTCTGGATTTGACTAGGTTGGTTAGGAACTGCAAGAGCTAGTGGAATTGCTTTTTATTCAACACTAACATGCTGAGTTAAATAGCATGAGCCAGTGTTATGGTTTTCAGTGGCTTGAATGTTTTGGTGGCAAATGGCTCTCTTAGGGTCTCCTTTCTGGAGGGCTTTTTTAAATTGATGGGAAAGGTGAGCTTTCTTATAAGCAGCCTTTTAAATGTTATTTGGAAACATTCAGCTCCATTCAGAGTAGTTACATCATGAGTTCTGTTACATAGCTAAAAATCGCTTTACTTTTTGAATTAAAGAAAAAAGTGGCAGAAGGTTATTATTGTTATTTGGTAAAAGCCTGAAACCCATATGGTAGGTGAGGCCAAATTCATGGCTAATGTAATTCATTGTATATCTGTATATGTGTCACCCTTGAATTATGTGTGTACATTGGATTAATTTGGGGAATACCTAGTCAAATATGGTAACTTCAGAGCTTTAAAGTGAGTCAAATTAGCATCTTAAAGCTCTTGAAAATGTTTCCTGTCAAGAAACTTATGTAACTTTTGAAACTCGGAATTGCAAAGTAAGGTTTTGACCTTTCTTTTTCTTTTTTTCCTTCCCTAACTCGAGGTTTTGGAGATTGCAACTTTTGCTGTGTATGGATTTCCTCATCCTGGTTGGTATGTAATCTCTGTGACCTGTTGCACTTTGCTCAGTGTCTAGGGTGGGTCAGGGGAGTGTTCATACATGCTTATGTCACTATGCTATGATTGTCAGCCCGGTCCATAATTTACCAGACCTTGTAAAATTTCTCACCCTTGTAGTCACTAGAGGCCATACAATATGGATGAGTGAAAGAAAATAATTTTTTTCATAAAATTTAGAGTTCTGTTTAGCTGTTCTGAGAAGGATGCATTTTTATTACTTGTAATCTGATGTAAAATAGTATCTTAGCAGACCTATGCTTACTAAAGGTGCAGGAAGGAATTTGGTACAACATACACAACCAGCTACTAACCTAATATGTTTCAGTATCAGATTGTCAATCAGCCCAATTCTATGAATTCCTAAACAGCTGGCAAAGCCTCTTCAACCCTGTATGTAGATTGAAGTCTGAGTTTTGTTTTGTGCTGTAAAATTTAGTAGAAAAATTCCTATGGACTTTAACTACTTATCTTGGATTCTTGGATAACTGTCTTGATCTTTTTTCATTATCAAAAGCATAGAAATAATTGGTTTTTTTTCTCTTAAAAATTGAAAACTACCACCACAAGAAAAGTCAAAAGCAAAGACGCAAAAGCAAAGTATCTTCTGGAAGACTTCCTGAAACTTACTTTCAGGCATGATTTATAACACATTCTGATAGTTTGTTTCTTTATACAAGCTTACTTTTAAGACATTGAATCTTTCTAATTTTCCAGGATATTTGTTATGTTGCACTCAAAGTTATTTTAAGTTACAGCAGTATCTGTAAAGAGACCTGGAAGATGTTGCAGCTTGAAATGGGTTTATTTTTGAACACTTATTGCACTCCTATCACTCAAAAGTGATAGTTGCCATAAGGATATTAATTGCTATCAATCTAATAGCATCAATTATTGATCTAACTTATTATTGATTATATTTGGGTTTGATTTTTGCCCCTTGATTCTTGAATGTAGATGATTGTTTGCACTACAGTAGTATCTTGAAGCACTAGTAGTACTTGTTAGATCTTTGTGTCAGTCACTGCAACGGATTATAACCCAGATGAGTCGCTCTGAGTCCTGACATTGCTCGTGGTGTGTGCTGTTGGAAAATGCTTTGTCTGTAGATGTAACATCTTCAGGACAGGACTAAGATGTGACTATTATTCTAGAATGTGAATTCTATGCAGTGTTGTCTTAAATAATTTATTTTTTTATTAGAGTAAAAGATATTGGTCATGCAAATAATGATTTAGCATCTGTGTTAACAAACAGTTTTTTCATTAACATCTCTCGCCCCCCCAGTGCCTGCCCACCTTTCCAACAAAGAAGTGTCCCGCATGCTGATGTAAAAGTCAGCTAAAACTCAGGCTGAGATTTGAGGTGTATGTATATCACCTGTGGAATATGCATATAAAGAAGAAGGTTGGCAAGACAGTCTACTAGCTTAGTGTTCTTTGAAGCGTACCTTCATCCAAGCACAACCTGAGGGATTAATGCACATCTTTGTGCAAGTTCCTGAACCATCTTGCTAGAGTAGTATTTTTGTTCTGCTTTGTTTTCTGAAAGGACCCTCTTTGGTGCCTCCCTGCCCCCCAGCAGAAGGAAGGCCACTTACCTGGGTATTTTAGTACAAACATGCACTTTAAAGAGCACTGTATGCATAAAAAGAGCCCAGGCTAAATGGATCACTTCCTTTATCAGTTATTAGAGTTTATTCTAGCTGAGATTATTTCAGAGTAAATGAATGTACTTCCTTCTACAGTTTAAAGATTTTTGTAGAGGATAATTCAGGCTGGAAGGGACCTGAGAGGTCTCTAGACCAGCCTCCTGCTCAAAGCAAGGCTGGACCAAGTTACTCAAAGCATTATCCGGTTGAGACTTGAAAACTTCCCATGACGGAGACTTGCACAACCTCTCTGGCTAACTTGTGCCTCTTACTGCTCTCATGGTTGACAAGTTCTTCAGTTTTTCCTTACATCTAGTGTGAGCCTCCACTGTTTCATCTTACACCTATTATCCCTTGCCCTTCTACTATGCTCCACCAAACGGCCTTGCTTCTGTCTTCTTGAGGACTATTTCGTAAGTATTTGAAGGCTGTTGCTAAGTCCTCCTGAAGCAGGGTTCTCCAGGCTGAAGAAGCCCAGATCCTGCAGTTTCTATTTGTGGGGCAGGTGCCTCACCTCCTGACCGTCTTGTTGGTGCTCTGCTGATTTTGCTGCAGTTTGTCCCTTTCTTGTATTGGCAATTCCAGAACTGAATGCCCTGTTCTAGTCAGTCATAGGTTGTAAAGAGTGATTATACGAGGAAAGAAAACGCCCCTTTTTTTTTTATTTTGTTTTGTTTTTTCTCCCCAAATTTTTTAAGATGCCATGGATGTTAACCAAAAGCTGTGGGGAATTTACAGTTACCTGCAGCCCAGTAGATTTGACTGTGTCTTTCTGTCATGGGCTGTTTTTCTGATTTGTTATTTTCTTCCATCTTTCCTAGGAAACCCGAGTTCATGGGCTTGTTATCTCTGTGGGATATGGTGCGATTGGTGAACATGTTAATTGTGTTCAGGTTCCTGCGGATTATTCCTAATATGAAGGTGTTTGTTTATCCCTCTGCACTTCCTATTTCTTTGTTGCTTGAATTATAAATTTTGTTAAAGCCTTTTAGAATAACATGTAGTAGATTGCAATTCTCTTGCACTGGAGTGGGATTATAACTGCTCTAACTGTCCAGACTATTGCACAGCACCTCACAAACTCATTCTCTCTTTAGCTGGCTTTCTCCCTTGAGGTGACAGGGAAGTTCTGTTGATGTCACTGCAATTGATGCTCCTATTCTACAGTGGGCAAACATGTCCAGGAACGCTTGTGTAACTTGCGTAGTGCTTCAGTCTTAATCAGATGAGTGGCCATGGTATCCTTGAAGAACTTGGTACTTGGGAGGCGATGACTTGCTTTCACTAGATACTGCCAGGCATTTTGCTCCTACAAAGGATTATTTGGAATTAATCTCTCTTTCTACTTTTCCTATTTGGGGTATTTCTACGAGAATATGTGTACTTGAATCTGAAATCACTTTTTGAGTTATTTGGTTGTTTTTTATAATCCCGCATTTAGATTTGCTTGAAAGCTAAACCCAAATTAATGTCAGGTGCAGGACTTGTATCTTGGTTCAATAAGCCATAAATATCTGCCTGATATAATCAGAGGTCATAATGTCAGTGGAAAGTGTAAACCAGAGTTGATGTGGATCAAATGTGAAGTAGTCACTCTGGAGCTGTGGGGCGCTTGCAATTTCCCTCTCCCCCGCCCTGTTCTAATCTCACTAGACATATAGCCCTTTAAGTCACAGTGCCAGTGTATATTTAAAACTTATCATAATGTCTGTGTATGGAAAGGACTACAGCATTGTTCATTTATTTTAAGTGCCCCATGGAAATATTACTATATCAAAGTTATTCTGCATTTAGATATAGCTCACTTCCTGGTTGGTATTGCCTTGTCCTTTTAGTAAAAATAATTTGATATGGATTGAAAGTGTGCTGAATGTCATGCATATGAAATTCTGCTTTGTTTTAGTTCATGGCTTTGGTTGTTACTACATTGCTGGATCTGGTAAAAAACTTGAGAGCCTTTGCAGGAATCCTAGTGGTAAGTCGTGATGCAAGATTGTAATTTCCTTTCTTATAATTAGCAGTATAATAAGGGTATGGCATAAACAAAGTAAACAAGGTTCTTTGACAACCACTGTGAACAGTAATGTTTCACCTTAATCAGCCAGTCTTCTCCAGGACGTGTCTTGCCAAGCTGCAACAAACCACTTTTGTTATGGGCCGTACACAGTGACAGTGCCTCATTTATCAGTTTACTTTAGGAGGGCCTTTAAAAGATTGTTTGAAACTTCCTCAGAGTGCTTGCCTCAGGCTGGGTATTCCAGTTTCAAATAAAAACTCATCCGATGCTAGAAGTAGCCTTGTTTTCCTTACCCTGGCTTGCTTATGTTAAATTAAATAGCAAAACAACTTTAAAATTGTTTTCAGTTGAGGTGGTCTTGAGATGGCATGTTTGGACATGATTTTAAAAGCTTCTGCCATCCTGTTTGAGGTGTGTCTGTGTAGAGCGTATACTCTGTAAACATGCGATTAAAGGACGGGTCACAGTGCATGATATCTATTACATAAACCCTCTATTTCCCAACTTGAGCTTCTGGCTTTGCAATGATGTTTTGCAGGTAGAGCAAAGAAGTGCCTAGGTAGGTTTTTGTTGTTGTTTGTGTTTTGTTTTGGGGGGGGTTTTTTTGGTTGGTTTTTTTTTTTTTTTTAGGATATCATAATTTGAAGTAATGGTTAGAGACCAAGGATTTACTGTGTATTAGGTATTGTCTAAAAAGTTTTTCTAGTCTATATAATTAACATGCAGTTTGCCCAGAATATTGGGTTTTGTCATTACTAATTGCTGCTTTTATCTGTAGGGGAGGAGCCTTAAGTTGCAGTCTGGAAAGGTTTATGTTGCAGTATTAAATAAAGATACTGGTTTGGGCAAAACTAAGTTGGTAACAAGTTTGTTGTGCTGTGCAAGTCACACTTGCCATTGGAAGCTACTCTTGAAACTGAGAAATACCTTGGGAGTGCATGAACTTGGAAGTTAGCCTTTGCAGGTGAAAGTACATCTTAGGAGCCCAAATGCCAATCTTGCATATGATGGGAACAGCTTTTGGATAATGAGAAACTTCATTACTCAATTTGCTACTCAGTGTAATAAGCTGTCTAAAGGCTGACTGCAGTTTTGCTAACTTTGCCAGTTCGTAGTTACATACGTACACCATGCTGAAGGAGCACGTGCTTGCTTGTCACCCCTGCAGAAGTCTGGTAGGGTTGCATTGTAGGTAGATGGGGGAGGTAGTGATTGACGTTGCTGCTGCTGCTGCATCTGACAGAGCCCCTACCTCAGAGCCCTGGGAGAGAGCAATTCTGGGGTGAGCTGTTTTGTACTTTACACTAGGACCCCAAAGCTGTGTCGCTACTGGCATGGCTGCACCTGGGCTGTAGCATTCTGCTGGAAGCTCTTTTCATTCCTGAAAGACATAGCTAAGGTGGCAGGAGCCTGTAGTAATATGCTTGATTTTATTTTTAGGAATTACGTGTTAGTGTTTCTATGTGCTGTCCCTACCCCTTTATGTAAGACACAACGCTCCTGAAGTGGTTGAAGTGTCTGCTGCTGATTGTCCTTAGTGCCGGGAGCATGAATTGTGATTTTGCACCAATTGTGAGGCAAGTCTGCCATGGTGTTTGCTATTTACTTTAATTTAATTTGCTTTTACTTGAGGCTGTGTAGAAGCTGTCACTGAGCTTCTATCATAGTGAAGTCCGACTCCATTACCAGCTGATGCAAAACATCTTTCCTAACATTAGCCTGGAATACATGCTGGTAAAGTAATGTAGCTGATTAGCTAATTTATCTGGTAGTGCGTGTTTTGGGCCTATCTTTTTCAAAGAATAAAATTAATTTTATTATTGCCTGGACAGATACCCCATCTTCTGGCAGGCTGTGGCATGTCAACTTGAGCTTATTCTAGTAGTGTTCAAAGGGCTGTGGTTCATAGATCAGAGCAGTCTCTCTTCTACTCCTCCCAGACTTCCCTCTTCGGTCTGTTTTGTAGCAAAACACAGAAATATGACTAATGATGATTTTGTTTGAAGAGTCTGCTTGTTTCAAGCCATCCTAGGACAAATGGCTCTTTACACAGAGGAATGAAGTTGTAGGTTATTTCTAGAACAACCTTTTTAGGATAAAAATTGTAAAATCCCCTAGGCAACTGTTGAAGACTCTGAAAGGTATCTCTTCAAAAAGAGGTTTGCATTTCTAACAAGTAAAAGACAGAAGTTCCAAATCCTTTGTGTTATTGAAACCTTTATTTTTACACTAATATAACATTTTTAAATAAGTTACTGATGTATAATATAAAATAGTGACTTGGTTTTGTCCTTCAGTTAGGTTTAGTAAAAGCTTATTTTCACTGAATCTAGCGGAAAGCTTGCCAGATGCTTAGATTATTCCTTGCAAATACAGGCATTGGTTTTTGGTTTTGTTTTTCAAGCCACTGTTCTGCAGGGTTTATAGTTAAATGTCAGCATTCTGTGACACAGAAAAGTAAAACAGATCATAAAGTAAAATGATTTAATGCATTTTAACAGCTGAAAGTTAAACAGAATATTAAAAAGTAAGAGCAAACAGTTAAATAATACAGACATGGAGAAGTATTTTCACTTTAATAGCTTCAGGCATTGTTCTTGACCAAATTAAATTAACTGTGGTACTAATGCAAATTCCATGTTAATTGCATTGTTTTCTTATTTAGTGACAGAAATATTCAAAACTAATACTTGCTTATATTCCTTCTAGGTGGTTTTCTATGCTTTTGCTATAATTGGCATAATGCTATTTAAAGGTGCTATTGTTCCCTTGGGAAATACCAGGTAACATTCTAAACATCTCTACTCAAAATTTTTTCAAAATATTTTCAGAAGGATTTGCAACTCAGTTCTTCTGAGTTGTTTGTGGGTGTTGGTTTTTTTTCCCTCTTATTCTTGGAGCCACCCTTCTTTTAATGTTAAATCACACAGACTTTTTTCATGTTACTCGTTATGTTTCTTCTTGCTGTACTGAAGTTGCAGGAACACTTATCTGTAGCTTGAAATTTTACCTTGCTGTAGCTTAAATACTTTTTCAACTATTTCCTTTGTTTTCTGCCTGTATGAGATACTTTCTACAAGGCACATGGAAGAATCTTGTTTTTAAGGTGTAGTGCACAGAAAGCTATGCTCACATCAGCCTGTAATTCTCTTATAGTGCTGTCAATACAACATACAATAATGGCACTCTGCAGTGTGGAACCTATGAACAGCTGGAATATTGGCCAAACAACTTTGATGACTGAGGCTTAAGTGTGTGATACAGCTGCTCAACTTCTGTTTTACTTATGTTATTTAGGCAGCAGTAGTGACCCTCTGGGATGTGATGGTGGTGAACAACTGGCAAGTCTTTCTGGAAGCGTTCTCAAGATATTCAAGTCCGTAAGTAGCAGTAACAATACTGAGAAAGGCCCATATATATCTATTTTAGAAGGTAACTGAGTAGGGATTATACACATAGCACAGTTCCTACCATCTGGGAAGAGGGGCGCTGCTTACTTTTTCTTTTGGGTCAATTCAGGTATATAGGAAATAAACTTAATGCTTTATGGCTGTTCTTTAACTTGTGTAACTTGATGGTTGATCTAATACTTGGTGGATGCCATAAATCTGTGATCACATTTAGAAGGGACTGGAGACTGGCTTGGCAGTCGTGTTGTTCAAAAAAAAAGAAAAAACAGTGAATGACTTAAGTGGATTATAAACAGGCTTGCAACATGTATTGGGTGGGTGGCTTTCGCTGTAGAGCCAGTCTCACAGAAGTGGGATATTAGTGAATCGCTGTAATTCATTTTGGGCTGCTTCTGTATTTTTCCCTGTGGGTAGAAAATTTTTGTAAACTTAAAACCTTGGACTTGTCTTTCATTTGTTTTTAATTACTTTATGGGAATGTTTGAAGGAACTGGATAGCCTCTGGGTTGAGCTGTTCCATTGATCCAGCATGTAGTTAAGTTGTGGAATGCTCTTCTATAGCCTGTTGTGTGTGATAAGTCGTTAACGTGGTCTGGTGAGGACTGGACAAGTTGCAGAAGAGAAATCCATTGGGATCTGCAATGAATGGAAGCTACCTCTAGCTCAGGAAGTCTCTGAATGGCAAATGGTTGGAGATTAGGAGAGTATTTAGGGGGGTAGAATCATAAATATTTTGCCATGTTTTTGCACTCTTCCCTGTACTTCTGCTTTTGACCATTCTCAGAGGATACTAGCCTAGATGGATCTTTTGCTGTGATCCAGTACACCTTCTAGGCTGCTTTTCTGTCCTTTCAGAGTTCAATTAGGTATGTTAAATGGGGGGGAGCGAGTCTGTCTGGCTAACTTAATGAAAGGCTAAAATTTTTTATTTTTATTTTTTTTGTTCCAGACCTCCTTTTACATTAAGAAAGTAGTAGTATTGTACTTCAAGGAAAAATGTGATTTCATGGCTCTCTGGTCATTTTCAGGCTGAGGTTATTTACTGCCTACTTTACTTACTGACTGTTAATCTGATCTACAGGTGGGCAAAGATCTATTTTGTAGCCTGGTGGTTGATCTCCTCTGTCATCTGGGTTAATCTCTTCGTAGCTTTACTTCTAGAGGTAAGGAAGTGTGTTTTATTTGGTATTAGATCCTGAAGACAGGTTCTAATTTGTGTGAGAAATGAAAAGAACCCGAACAACTTACTGAGAAAAGTATGTTGGTCTTGTGCGTGTGCCTACTTAATCTTTGTCCTTGCTGCCCTTCCCACGAGATGTTGAGGAAGCATTTTCTTTTTCCTAGGCAATTGTATATTCTATTTGCAACTTTGTCGTGGTTGCATTTCATTGGGTGTGTACATCTCTCACTATAGCTCGCTCTCTATAAAGACAAAAATACTTCATGTATTATAAAACTGCTTGTCTCTTACACATTAGCTGCAGGTTTTTTGCATTTTGATTTGTCAGAAAATTAAGTTAGTGCTTTAAATTTTACATTTTTATTTTATTTCGTTATCCTGTGTTTCTTCCCACCCCAATTCATATTACTACCCTTATTCAGTTCTGCACTGGAAGAGTGGAACCGATTACTTATTTTGAAGAAATCATCCTCTAGAGTTTTTTAAAGAAGCTGTGGAAATGTAGGTACCTAAGCAATGCCGTGAAGAACATGTAGTTCCGCTGGCTTCTTGTGTATGCATACTTCTCTGTAAATCCAAATACCTTTTGATGGTGAGGGGAACGTTAATCACAACCATCTACTCCAGGTTAATCATCATAGACTTCTCTTAGTAGTAATGGAAGAAATTGAGTACCTATAGAGGGCACTTCACCCCATCTTAAAGCTATGAAAACTACTTTTGGAGGTGCTCTTGTTGTTGACTACATTGAGAATTAAAATTTACTACTTGAGGCAGAATAGTGAACTCTTAGTAATTGAACTATGAGTCTCATGCTAAGCCTCAGTCTTGCCCATGAGCGTTCAGAAACAACTTTCTGTTTTAGCCGGAGGCTAATCCTGTGAAGCTTTCTACTGTGGAAGCTTACTTCTGCAAGGCTGTGGCCAAAGACTGCTGTAAGAGCCAAGATGTAGCATTCTGTAGCAGGAGAGCAGGATGTCACTATTTTTCTCCCTTTTTTTTTTTTCCTGAGCTGTCTGTCTACTCCCTAGGTCGACTTGTCAGAATAATTCAAAGTGGATAAGGCAACATGGCAAAACCAGAAGCTGAGTTTAAGCTGTGATGCCTGGACAAGAAATATGTTTGTATTTTGTGGGGTTTTTAAAGAGGAAAAAATTCAAAGCAGGTGAAGTCCTGTGGGTAGTTCACACAGTTATCTCAAGGAGGCAGTCCTTGCTAGGCAGTCCTAGCAAGGCTGTCTTCTGCTCCACTGTTCTTGCAATGTGTGATGAGAGGGTTACTTCATTCCTAAACAACAGGTTTGAATAAAATAGTGACCTGCAGCCAATAAATATGCTGATGCCTAAATAATCACTGCTCTTGACACCCTGTGTTAAAAACAAACCTAACCCCCTCCCCCCTGACCTTACCCACAAACCGATTGACATGATATAACCTCTTTTCTGATGTCACCGCAAGTAGCCTTTACATTTTTTTCCTGTTCCTTTTACATTTCAGAACTTTATTCACAAGTGGGACCGTCGCTGTCATCGAGAGCCTCTTTCAGATATTGAATACCAGAGGACAGTTGAACTAATGTTCAGGTGAGTTGAACTGGGCTTGATAATTGATCTAGTTTTTTCATGTTCTTCTGTTTTAAAGAAAGTGCTCTGGCTACAAGAGGGTAAAAGGCTTCTCTTGTGTTTCCTCCCTCCGAAGCAAACTGTTTCATCTGTTAGTTTGGAAAAATTCACTAAGTGCTTTAGTTAGGCCTGCTCTAAGCTGACTCTGTAGCCAAACCTTTATATGCTTTCTGGCCATGGCATAACGGGAGAAGGGGGGACGACTGTGCTGAGAGGGAGAAGAAAAGGGAAGATAAGGAAAGCGATGCACGTTCTTGGCTTATTATGAAATTCTGGGTGGTGAGTTGATATTTGATGATCGTGCACAAGTGGAACTTCTGGTGCACATTGGCTATTCAATAGTATCGTTGGGAACATGTTCTCATTTGGGAGTTTTTTCAGGAAAACAAATCTACTGACCTTCAGTTGTGTTGTACTGTGTGCAGGAAATTGCTTCCTTGCTTCTTATGGGAAAACAGCTGCTGGTTTCCATGACACATCTGTAAAGGATGGATCACTTGCAAGTAGATGCATCTTTAGGGAGCATCAGCTTATTGTAATTTTAATTCCTTTTTTCATTCTTCAAACAAGCACATGTTACATCTCTGTATGTGCATTGCAAAAACAAATGCTGGGAAGCTTCCTTTGCTGCCCCTAACAACTCATGCTTTTTCTTTGTAGAGATGTTTTGGAAGAACCTACAGAGGAAGAGTTGACGGAAAAACTGCACCAGCATCCACACCTGCAGTTATGTAGGTGACTGGTGGGAAGGACTGATTTATTTAGACCTCTATTTTCTTGAGGTTGTCAGCTGGAAGAAACAGAATGGATTTTCTGTGAGGTGCTGTTAGGAGAGAGGCTTGTAGGGGAGAGTATGTGAGGTTTTGCTTGGCAATTCTCTGCAGAAAGAGGTTTTTTATTTTTGGTTCATCTCTCTTTTTTGAAAAAGATTTGAATCTTGCTAATTTGACTTGATTTTAAGTTTCAATTTTAGAGGAATATTGCAGCTGTTATTTTTATAAACTGTTGATATCAGAATGTTTTATTTTCTTTTTTTAAGAAGGGAAAGTGTGTTTAAAATGATAGTGCACTTTAAAACATGGACTTTGTAACCACTAAGCCTGCTACTTTTTTCAGCACAAGAAAATGGAACTGCCTTTTCTGGTAGGTGAGTGTGGCAAGGGCTGTGCCCTGCAGTTCATGAGTGGATTGGGCAGGACCAGAACAAAATCCTTAATCTTTTTGTAGTCGGAGCTGAAACACTATTTTTATTGAAATGTGACACCAGCATATCTTACCAAATTTTTGGGAGTCAATCACACCAGAGCACAATCAATTTCAACATAGTGACAGGGTTTGCCTGCTTCACACATCCTCTCTTTTTCTTCGTTTTCGATCAAGGGTTTGTGCTGGTTGCATCATGCTGATAACTTTGAGAGCAGTTATAACTTTGAATGGAGCAATTGCACTCATGGTTTTTAATGTGGTAAAATTGAGCTCTCCTTTAGAGTAAATATTCTCATGTTGCTTTTTAGTGAACCTCTTCCTTTTACTTTCTTCCAAGTCCTGTTCTACACTGTATCATGTTCCATGAAAAAGCTGAGGGGATTGAACTTTGGCCGGAATGTAGCACCATGATCACTGCAAGTCTCCCACTTAAAGGGGGGGGGGAGAAAAAAAGGTTGAATGGGGCATAATCAAAGTGCTTAGCAGTTCAAATTTTCATCTGAGTCTGTGGGAACCGAAAGTGCTCAACCAGTATTGCAAGGTCACATTCTTTTATGGCTTAATGACCACATGTTGTATACCACTAACTTTCACTCGGGTAATACTTTTTGGGTAAATAACTTGGTCAACAAATCTAAAGTGGAGAATTAACAGTAAGCCATGTTCACATGCTTTTCATTATCCCTTAGTATTCCTCTAAAAAGGTGGTTTGTCTGAATCTTTGTCAGATAACTAGTAAATCACTATGAAAAATAGAATCAATCTCAACTACTATTTTTATATGTAAAAATGAAGCTACCTTTTGGGGTGCTGCCTTGTCATTAAGACATTTGTCACCAAAATAGATGTTGCTGTGATCATCTCTGCATTGACAAAGGCTTGGGGAAGGTAATTGGCCATAAAACACTGCTATTATTTATAAGTTATTTGAGCCTTTCTTTAGATAACAAAACACTTCTCAGAAGTGCCAAGAAGTCATCCTGTATACTTTTCCTCCTGTTTTTTTTATCATTTGTCTTCTCTTTCTTTCCTGCTTAAGGGAGAGGTAAATATCTGGCATGGTGGTGCATTTGAGCTCAAAAGCATATTTCTGCCTTGTTGTCTTACAGTTCAGAAGTTGCGTAGTGATTCTTGTCTGTTTCTTTATCTTCTGCTTATATTTTCCTTGTGCTGTGGAAGAAAATATGTTTTGTAGCTTGCATATGTGTAGAACAAAACTGAACTGAGCTCTGAGGTACTCCTGCAATCTGTCTTTACTTTTGTAATCTTGCCTCTTAAGCCGTGCTCTTGTCTCTGTTCAGTCTGTCTCTGCTCCAGAATAATCCACCCAGTAACTCACTTGCACTGGTTTCAGTGGCATTATCATACTTATTTTCAGCCATACACTTAGAACACAGGTTGTAGCAAGTAGGTAAAGGCATCAGCACAGTTTTTTCTAGATTTGAGTTTGTTTTTTTTCAGTACGGTTTTATGCCAGGATAGTTTCTGCTCCTTCTAGCATGATGTAATCACTACCACCAATTTATTGGCACTTATTAACAGGGGTTAAATAGCCTGTTTTACCTTTTTACTGAAAAAAAAATTATTTTTGTCTTCCATGTTTCTGAATACTTGAAGTAGCTTTGCCTTGCCAAAAGTAACTGGCTGGTTCTTATCAGTCTGCAAGTTTTTTTTTGTTGTTTCTTAAAGTTGTTTGGATGTTTGTTTTTCTTTTTTTGTTGTTGGTTTTTTTTTTCTTATATTCCACTACAATCTACCAAAGCAACACAAATTGGTGTACAATTATCATAAACATCACAAAAGTCTTCATTATGCAATCTTTGCTTCTGGACAAATGCGAAGAAGGCTTTCTGAAGGGAATAGTCTTAGCCTTGTTCTTCCACATTTGTGTAATTGACTGAAAATGTAACTAGAATTCAATACAAAACTGTGGTACCTAATGTCACTTGTACTGAAAGATGTAAACAACCACAAGTCATATGCAGTAATTGTATAAATCATGAAAGTGAATGTATGTAACTGGGTAAAAATTGAGGTTTGCATTATTAAAAAAAAAGTTCCTTCTTAAAAGATGAAAATAATTGGGGTGTTGAAATGATTCGTGTGGTTTGTTTTTGCCCTTCCCCTGCTACTGATCTCTTTGTGCTCAGCATCTGTGCTCCCTTTATCTTTACTAGTTGAAGGCTGGGCCCATGGAAGAGATTACATGCAAATGGGACATGACTGCAGGGTTTCAAAATGCAGGACCTAAAGAATGCTGCTCTGTTATTCTCCGGTCCTAGAGGTGCATAACCTCATCTGTAGGTACTTGATATGCTTAATTAAGGTGAATCTTCATTGGAACTGGGTATTGCGGAGCTTGATTTCCATTTGTGTTTCAGTCTCTGCATCTGCAAACTAGGGATTCCTTCATGTCTCTTTTTTTTTTTCCTGAAAAGATCAGTGCAATAAGCATTCTCATAGCATTTCAACTGGGACGGATTTTGCACATAACGTAGCAGAGTTCGTGCCATTCTTTTGAAACAGGTTCTGATTTAAGAACAGAACAAAATAAGTTCGGGGTCAAGCTAAAGGCTTACCTTTGCTGATATTTCTGACAATGGCTGTTGCGGATGCTTGGGTGAAGCATATTAAAGCCAAAGGAAATAGAATATCATCTTCCGTTATTAAATCAAGCTCATATTTTTCTAGCTTCTGAGGGAGGGCCTTAATGACCAGACTGTTGGTGATATTCCTCAGATTTTTTTTTTTTCCTTCCTGATTTGCTATGAATTTGTGTTACTCAAAGATTTAGGAGCAGAGGGAGAGGATAGATGCAATTGATTCTTTCAGTAGAAATACAGAAATACAGTGATAAACCTCACAAGCACACTTAACTATGAAGAAACTTAAAGAGCTTATATTGCTCAGAGCTGCAAACAGGGCGGCTGTTTGGTAACTGTGTAGAAATGACAGACAAAGGAAGAAATCCTGTCCTGGGAGTCAAGAGTTTATATGAATAATGTGCATGGGGTGTGCTTTCCTGACTTCTCTTTGCTGTAATGAGATGTACATCTCTTGACACATCTTTAGGAAACATAGCTTTTTCATATCTCCAACACTACTTAAGGTGCACAAAAATATAGGGACATAAAAAGCTGTAAGAAAAAATGAGGCCTATAGGAAACTGGTGGAAGATATAGATTAGTTATCTCTGAAATGTGAGGTAAAGGTATTTCTTATCTTGTTAGATGGTTTATCTTTTCACCTGCCAGCATATTATGAGCAGTATACTGTGTTACCACAGCTTCTGCTATTGTTTAACATTTTGCTTTAGTCAGAGGAAATCGTTTCAGTAATCTATCTGTCTTGGGTTTTATTCATGTAGGTGTTGATGATTTTTTTTTTTTTTTACTAGATTTTTGTCTAATTAAAAGCCCATTCAACTGTTGGGAGTCTTCCACAAATCAAACTGTTTTGACTTAATCTGCAGTCTATAAACATTCAGAGCTATTTGTAATGTGAACTCTGGGTAGAAATAATTTTGGGGTTGGGGCTGGAGGGATAAGATTTGATTTCTATTCCAACTCTAAGCACTTCATTATCTGGGATACTATTTCAAAATTACCTTGATAAACTAGAGGAAATTGCCAAAATTATCAAAGTAAAATTTAAGAGATAAATACCAACTGTTACAGTTTAGAAGCACAAAATGTAGAAACATAGTAAGGAGTAAGCGGTATTAGAAGACAAATACTATAGGGCTTATAGTGTAATACAAGTTGAATGAGCTAACGGCATCTGAAAGAGATCAAAAGGAAATTGCTTTGCTGTAATCTGTAATAGTACTTCCCTTTTGGCCCCACTATTTCCATTTTGGGCGTATTTGGGGTATTTGTTATAGGACTGTAATAGAGGTCTTAAGAAATTTGGAACATGTGAGCTGGGAAGAACTTCGAAGGAAATAATTTGTTCATTTTTTAAACAATGTTTGAGTATGTAAATGATGGAGAGGAGCAAACTGTTGATGATGTGTACTCTGTGTGCTGATTGTAGGCCAAGTTATAGGTTGGATTTTGGCAAAAAGAGTTGCTGGATATGAGGGATGCTTCCTAACTGAGCACTGTACTCTGGGAGGTCATGCACTCCCTTTTACATGAGTGCCCTTTTAGGAAGGGTTTGACAGTCAACCTGCTGCAGCTTTGTCTGGATGTTTGTGAACCTGCCCCTGCTTGGTGATGCCTCAGCTGGTCCCTGAGATCCTGTCCCGCCTACCTCTCTGTGGTTTCACTGGAAAGGATTCCCATGGCTGTAACAAACCTAGCTTTTGTTGTTACAGCATGTGCTGTTGGTTCTAGCTAATGGCTTACAAATGTTTGCAGCATGCAAGTATTTTACAAGAATAACAAAAAAAAAAAAAAAATGCTCCTTCAGCTTCCCATTATAAACAGGAAGATGAGATTTAGTTGTATGTGCTCTGTTGCCAATACTCAACCAGCATCCCCTGGTCCCTGCACTATCTCCCCATAGTTCTCCATGCAGTTCT